GCTCCAGGGGGACCTTACTGTAGCTTTTCAATACTTAAAGGGGGTCGATAAGAAAGATGGGGGCAAACTTTTTAGCAGGACCTGTAGTGATAGTACAAGGGGTGATGGTTTTAAACTAAATGAGAGGAGATTTAGATAGACTTAAGGAATAATTTTTTTCATAATGAGGATGGTGAAACACTGGCACAGGTTGCCCAAAGAGATGATAGATGCCCCATCCCTGGAAACATTCAAGGTCAGATTGGACAGCGGTCTGAGCAACCTGATCTAGTTGAAGAGGTCCTTGTTCACTGTGGGGGTTTGGACTAGATGACCTTTAACCCTTCCAAGTGAAACTATTCTATGATCCTATACTCCATTCTTACAGGCAAAGAACTGTCCTACAGAGGAGGCTGGGAGACTTGATGAGCTATTTCTGCCTTAATCTTCCCTTTTCCCCTTCCTAGTTTTGCAGTGGTAAGCATTACTCATCAGAGGCAAAACAAGACTGGAATAACTTTTCTTATAAGCCTTCTTCTTAGAGGTTAGTGTGTAAATTGTGGAGACCTAGAGTCATTTAAATTGGTGGAAAGAATAGAAAAATCCTCCTGTTCATCATGAGATAGATGTGCCCATCAAAAGGCAGATTTCAGACCTACATCTCCAGTGTGAGTTGAGGAGGAGCTAACCAGGTATCTTGCCTTCCCATGACTGCTGTTCCCAGCAGCTAAACTGAGGAACCAGAGGTACCTGCAGTAGCTTAGATAATACTTCTCTCACAGAATTAAGCTTTTAATGATAATGCCAAGAAATTTTCCTTCTTGACAGTCTAATCAGGAATATTAAATGTCATTTTTGTATGCTAGGACTCAGTAATTAATGAAGCTAAATGCAAGAGATCTCTCAGTGTGAATTTTCCCACTGAATCCTCAGGTTTAAGGGCTCTGTCCCTTGCTTTCCCAAGTTGCCTGGCATTTCCTCCAGCTGCAGAAGCCATTGAAACAATGGAAAGATCCAGGGTGGATAGTTAGGAAATCCATATTCCTTATGGGATTTAGTTTATACGATCATGTCATGGCAGATGCACAACAGGAGGAGAGAATCCAACAATTCGCAACAATGCTACCAACCTTGCAATGGAGGATTGACAAGTTCCTGCAAGAAAGTTTAAGTAACAGCCAAAGGCCTGAAAGGGGAGGTGATGGGGGCTGACTGCTTATGGATTTATCATGCACAGAAATGGACCACATATTTATTTTTCCAGATTTAGGAAAAAATATTTTTTTCTTCTGCCTCCACCACTGGTCCTGGTACTCTGCCTTGACTGGTGGTGGAGGCAGGAACAGTGGTAGCAGAGGAGCCAGCCAGCACCTGCCCCACCAGCCAAGACAGTCATGGTGACCGCAGTGGTAGAACAAGAAAGTAGATGTAGGTCTTGAATGTATAGCTAAGGGAAGGAGTTCCTGAACCCTGGGGTCATGGTGGGTATTTCTTGAAGGATCAACCAAAAATCAAGTGTTACCACATAACTGCAATTAAGCCGATGATGGCACAAAGTTTATAAATTGACTTTTTTCCCCCATCTATAAAATCAAAACAAGAGGACTGAGAAGACAGATGAGAAAAAAATTTCCTGCCTGGGGGCTGAAGGGACCTAAGGAGAGAGGATATAATTTAGTCCAGATACTAAGTCAATTTTGAATAAAAAAAGCAAGCTGAAGCTATCCCAGGCCTTCTACAAAACCAAAATGTCTCCTGTACCAAATGCCTGTGGCACACAGTCATCTCACACTAAAGAGGGCTCAGAAAGACTGAAAACTGAGTTCTTATCTTTCTTGGCACATCCTGACTTTCTCAGCTATTTCCTCTGCAGCACCAGGCAATTCTTCACTGTATTACCTTTTAAGGGGTTCCACTTTTTCATTCATGCAAAAAAGATTCAAAGGCACAAGAGGATGCCAACGCCATTTCAGAGGCTCCCTGCTGTCCTTTAAAAATCTCCAAGAATCCAAAGCAAACTTGCTCTCCAAGAAGAACAGAACTAGAATATTACTCCATTTTGATTGTCGATTTTGGTGTCTTGATGAACAGAATCAACAATTCATTTTTCCAATTTTGTTTTTGAGTGTTTTTCACTGCTTTATTTCTTTATGAGATATTTTTTAAGTATTATTACTAATCTCTGACAGTACTTCAGGTTTCTGTTTTCTGTTTTTTAGATTAGTATTCCTGCTCCAAACTAAGTGACTCAGCCACATTGGTTTTGAAGTCTCCAAAGAGCTTTTGTAATTGTCTCTGCTCCCTTTGAGTGAACTCTACTATCTCAGCATGTTGGCCAATTTTCTTCTCGAGTTCTTCTTCAAAATAAACAGTGACACTACTCTATTTCTTAATATATTCCTCTTTTTATCTAATTTGGTCTGCCTACACTTTAATCTAGCTCTATGTATTGCTTAATTCCCTGCAGTACTTGAAATTCGGACTGTTATTAAATTGTAGTCAGTACTACTCTGTTAATCAGTCACTTCATTTCATCATAATACTTATGCAAAATGAAATATAAAGCACTATCCCATCTAGTTACAAAGTGAGCCAGTCCTTCCATTTCTGAATTGCTTTAGTGCAACAGTCAACATTAAACGAAAATCCTACTTAATATTGTTCTCCGTAGCCTAATAGCTAAGCCACCTTCTCCAGCATTTTGAGGAACACTTAATTATTCTTATTCAGAGGTCAGTAGATTTTTCCTCTAGTTCTTCAGTGGGCAACTGCACTGACTCAGCAACTACTTAAGTAATTTTTATCCATCCTCCATATTTGATGGCTGTTGGCCATAACGCACTGTGACTTTATTTTCAGATATTATGAAAACATTAATTGGTATTATTACTTACTATTAATATTACATGGTTAAACATTAATTCACTTTAATCTATTATCTCACCAAGTTGATTATCTTTGTAAAGGTAAATCTCCTTTAACAACAACAAGTATATTTTAATGACCATATCAACCACTGATGAATTTACAAAATGGATTTATGGGAGCATCTCCCTCCTCCCCATAGCAGAACAACACAAGCAAACTTGCTTATGGTATGCTGGAGCAGCTGTACAATTCCTCCCATTTAAAGCAATGCTGCAGTTGGCCCTGACATTAATTATATTTTTCATAGGCACTATCCAATAATACATTTACCCTACTTCCATCTCCAGAGAGCCAGACCATCTTCACATCTCTATTTGATGCCTTTACTGCAAGACTTTATACTTCCAGCCATCACTATTTTATCTCTCAATGCCTCTGTGGGAGTAGGAGACCAGTACCTCACACAGCTGTCAGTTATCTGTGGGTGGAGGAGCAATGAAGTGCCTTAATCCACCACAGGTGCAGAAATATCTTTACTAGCTACATGACCACCCATCTCCAAGCTGAAAGCACAGAGAGCATGGGTTGGGAAACATGGCAGCAGGCTTATCACTGGCCAGCATAGGCCCCCATGTGGTTTATTAGCTCTGCCACAGAGCTTTTTTCCCATTTCAGTTGACAAGATGCTTTGGTACAGAGACATTGAGAGGACACATAACCTGATGGTCAAGGTAAATCCCAAACACAGCCCTCATTCAACCAGAGCTTCATGAGCTGCTCTTCCTTAATACTGCATCAACCACATCGTGCATCAAACACCAATGCTAAGCTTTTTATTCCTTGAATGAAACCTTTCTAACACCACTGCTTCCAAGGCTGCTCAGACTGCAGGGAGAGGAATTGACTAGAAAGGCCAGAAGTCACCAGTGGGGATCAGTGGGACTGCCCTTGTTGCAATCCCTGGACCACATAGCCTGGCTGAAGAGGTGTACAGTTCTGAGAAGCCAGCAGGGGTTGGAGGCAACCTTGTGTCAGGCATTCAACAGAGCCCTGGGTCAAGACAGAAAACTTCCAGGAATCAAGCTCAGGGTTTTTATAATGCAGATCTTTGGAGATACAGGAATGAGGACCGCAGGGTCCACACAATCAGAGCAGAGGTACCCCATGACACTATGTCACTTCCTCCCAACCAGATTTCCAGTCAATGAGTTGATTATGTGGTTCATTCTTCTCCTCAAAACAAACAAAATACTAAAGGCCACCAGTCATAAGTTCCTACCACCCCACATCAGTCTCTCTGCTTCTATCCCTCAAGAGTATCACTGAATTGTTTTAGATGTGAGTCCATGTCCATCACAATTGGTGTGAGTCCTCCGGTGACTCGGAGAGATTTGGAGCAGCAACAGCTTGGCCATTTGTTTACATTCTGAAGTTTATTTACATGAAACGCTTATTTATTTTTTTTTTAATGTTAATAAATGAGTTCAGTGAACCTATTTAATTGTAATTCAAAGTGTAGCAGACTGTAGAGTATTAAAAATTGCTTTGGCCTAGAAAACAAGCCTTTTGATAATAAACATCAGAGCACCAGATACTGCAGGATGGCCCAACACAGATAATGAGTTAGGGCTCTAATAGCATAAGATTTCCTTTAAAAATGCTCTTGGGATTTTTCAGGTTAATAAATACTGAATTGTTCTGCTTTGCTTTTTGATTTTTTTAAGAACTTTAATTCAAATTTTGAAGTTTTGCAAGAAAATGCAAGAGCTATAAATTGTCTTAAAGAAACAGCGTGCCAACCAGACCCACACACAGAGTTGAAATTTTAATGTAATTGGCTAATTCCAGGAAATGGAGCTTTTAGAAAAATATCATGAGACACCCTAAAGCTGTAAAAATCATCAATGGTGCCACAAGGACCTTAGTTTGTACAATAGGAAAGCAGCAGAAATACTTTCAGCATGAACTGTGAAAGTACCAGAGATCAGAAAAAGCTACCTAGATCTTTCAAAACCAACATGAAGAGCCAGTGGTCACGTAATGTTGCATTTGCTGATTCATATATAGATTCTGGTCAATATAACTAAAAAAACCCCCAAACAATCCACAACTCAACCAAAAAAACCCCCAAAACAGAGTAAAGAAGAGCTTACCTGTATCACTAAGAAATTCTTCTGTGGTGTTCCACATCCTACCATCCAAGTACAATGTGCCATTGGTGGAGTTAAACTTGGTGTAGTCCCTGACACACTTGTGTCGCAAGTTGCCCATGAAGAGCTGGAGGCCTATGAGGGCAAAGACACTCAAGCAGAAAACGGTCAGGATCATCACATCAGCAAGTTTCTTAACAGACTGGATAAGTGCCCCTACAATGGTCTTCAGTCCTAGAGAGATAAAAGCCAAGAGTTTATAGACTGAGAGGATGAGACGTGTCTGAAGATAGCTACTTTTCATGATAAAAATCTCTATGGAAGAGAAAATTGAAAGGTTTTCTACTATATGTTTGTAGCTAGATGGCAGAAACGAGAGACAAATGATCACTAGGAATGCTTAGTTTGGCCTACTTTTGTCTGGACAAAAGTCTTGGTATTACTTTTACACAAACACTGATTTAAAAATAGAGGGAAAGAACTGGATAGAGGAAGAGTGAGATACAAAAATATTAATGGATAAAGAAAATATGGAGTGTCTTTTATATTTTCATGGAGCTGCAGTTATCCTGGTTTTGCTAGGATAGAGTTAATTTTCTTCTTAGTAATTAGAGTAGCTGTGTTTTAGTTTCAGTGTAAGACTTGTTATGAGAACGTTGACAAAAGTACTAATGTTACTAGTTACTGCTGGAGCTCAAGGCCATTGTGTTTGGCTGGTTCACAGCTGCATTAGGACTGGGAGGGAGAAGCACAGTGAATAGCAAAACCAAAACCTGGCATTTGGATGTGCCAATGAAATATTCCATATCATGTCACATCATGTCAGTATATTAACCAAGGCTGACTGGAAATCAGGGGGTATTCTCTTAGGGATCACTCAGGCTCTCACTCTTCTAGGGTTTCAGTTTTGGGACTGTCTCTGCTCTGGGATCACTGGCTGGCACAGGATGGGCATTGGTCGGCGGGTGGTGAGCAATTGCACTGGACTTCACTCATTTGTATATTCTGTTATCACTGTTGTTATCATTATAATTTTATTTTAATTAGTAGATAGTTTTTATCTCAACCCGTGAGTCTCCTTGCCCTTTTCCTTACAATTCTCTCCCCTACTCCCTGGGCAAGGGAGGGTGAGAGAGTAGGCTGTGTTTGGCTGCAAGGTGCAAGCCAAAAGGGTGAATCCACGCAAACCACCACAGCAGTAAAGGCTATAAAGCCTAAATCCCACTGAAGTTTGAGAATGTGAATTAGTTTTAAATCACTCAGGTGACTCTGATAACTTTATCCATCACATAAACAGAGGAAGAGGTATAGAAATGTTATTTATTCCCTGATTATTTTACATATTTTAGTGTCAAATACAGCTCACTCTCCTCACATGAATAATTCCTCTGCCTTCAATTCATTTGCTTGAGACAACAAGAATTTGGGATTAGAAATGAGACAAATAATATGGGCAATCAAATAAACCTAGTGGAAACTATTTGAGTAAAACAACCTGAAGTTAATATTTTTATAATAAGCTGCCAATGTAGATAAATCATCTTATTACAAACACCAAAGGCCTGAGTCACACAAATTATCTTCTCCTGTGTTATTTTACCCTGTAACACTAATTTCAGTTTATTATTCTATAAATATACAGGTATAAATAACTATACTGTTTTCTCAAAAGTTTCTCAAAGTATTATTTGCTGTTGAAGTGTTCTTGGTGACCAGCACTATTTGAGCTGTTTCAATATTACATGAATATGACAAAAACCACTCTTTTCAAAAAAAGATCCTTCTTCTAACCTTGTGTGCTGTAGTTGGACGTTAATATTAGCTGCACAATAATGGCAATTTTGTTGGTTTTTTCCTATTTATTTTTAATTAATACTCAATAAGGAATAACCAGTGCTTCTGATCAGTGTCACCAGCATGGTAGTGGCAACAGAAATTAAGTTAAATGGAGAAAAAAAAAAAAAATAAAAAAAAAAAGCAAAGAGTAAACAGGAAGAATTCTCCTGGGCAATACTCAGAAGCACATTGATTTCCTCACTGAATATGATCATGCACAATATATCTCACTTCCCTGGAATTCCACCTCAAGAGTTTGGCAGCCACAAAGGTTGCGCTATTGCTATATAATTTAAAATAATATGAAAATGTACTTGAAGACTCATAGGAAGGCAAAAGGGGTTTTTGGTCTTGCTTAAAATTCTGTGGTTACAGTAAGGGGAAATCATAGTTTCTTAAAGGAGTATGAAATGTTGGAATGGCCAACAGGTCCAGCAGTCCCTGTTTCCAGTAGCCTAAAATATTGCCCCCCTGAATAGGATATTGCCATTAGGTTAGCCTGTGAATTATATTAATGTCTGTAAAATGATTCCTTTAACCAAAAGGGGCTGACTCATCAGATGTAGGTAGCCCCTTTCTCCACTAAATTCTTTGCCTCCTTAAGGTTAGCTTGCAGCATGGTAAAAAGGGAGCGGTTAGACAGCTCCCTACTGTGCTCAAAAATAAAACAAAAAATATTGCAGTCCAAAAATCCAGTCCAAAAGCTGAATTTTCATGCTATCTGCACTCCTCACCAGAAAGAGATTTTACAAATGAGGTCAGTTCTATTCAGGTACCTAGAAAAAGGCCAGCTTGAAACTTTTGAGTCCATCTGTAGATTTGACTACCTGTTTTGATGCCTAAATAAAAAGCGTAACTCTTCTGATAATCTAGTCTTGGGTGAACTTTATACCTGAAGTGAAACTAGCTTTAGTTGTAGCCCAGTTCTGAAGGACTTCCTGTGGTCTCACCCTTATCCAATGCTAAGAATATAAGACCTTGAAGACAGCCAAGTCTTAACCAAGTAGTGAGGTGTGGGGAAAAAAAAATAAAAAATTGTAAATGCACTAGATTTTTAAAAATTTTATCTAATATTCTGAAATATCTTCTATGATTCTCATCATGGGCTGTCTTTGAATACACACATTTCTTCACTGAAGCTGGTGAAACTTGGTAAGTCCAAATGCGAACCAAGACTTAAAAAAGGGAAAAAAGACAAACCACAAATTATTTTAATTCAGTACCCTCTGTGGAATCCCTGCAGCACATTTATTTGTTTGTAATACAAAAGCAAACTTGGAGGCTGCACTTGTATCATTTAAGTACACTAATTAATCTTACTTACATAGGCAAGGACAAACCGGAGTCCTAATGTGAATACAGATAATACCAGGAAACAAGACCTACAAAATCCTAATCACCAATAAAAACTATCTGTTTTCAAAATCAGGCCTCAGTATTGTTAATTTCAAGGTCATTTCATGAAACATATTTTTCTCAGTTTATTTATTGAGGTTTTAAATAGAATAGTAATCCTATACTATTAGTTTTACAAGTTCATTCCTTGCAGGTATCAAATAATTTCTTTATGAGAGGGATTTCTACTTTACTTTCATTTTTTTGCATGTTTTTTGTTGTTTTGTTTTTTTTTTTTTAATAGCATACAGGCTTCTGAACAGTTTAAGAAGAGAATGCTTTAGTAATACAATTGCTGTAATTAAAGACAAGGTATTTAAAAATAACTTGTACTCTGGCTCCTAGACTCTTGTAAAAACTTCCCAGGAAAACCATTTTGGAGAGTGGTATACTTACAATCTGTTTTTTTCTCACCCTTTAAAACCAAAATTTGCCCAGAAAATTAAGTAGCATCCATCAAGTTGCTTGGCACAACTCACTGCTAAGCAAAGTGTTTAAATCACCCTTCATTTAAACTTTCTGTGCCTCATAAGTGGAAGGGCTGAGAGGAAACAGACACCCAGAACCTCTTGCAGGTGCTTTGCATTTCTCTGAATCAATCCCATGTTTTGTGAAAGTAATGCTAGATATATTCAAATTTAGAGTACTGTTAAATCTTCTAGATAAATAATCCTTCTTTGAAATAGTGCCAATGAGAGCACAGCAATATAGCTTAATAGAAGCTACTGTTTATGGGGCAGTAAAGGCATTTACTTAATTCCTGAAAGTCAAACATCAAACCAGGCAGCATGCAGCACAAACTGAGGATCTGATCCAAAACTGAGTAACATCTACACACATTAATGACAATGGGTCTATAGATTACTCCCTATGGAGTAATCGATACAGGCTTTTCCTGAATCACTGAATTCTTTCCACGTTTCTGGGCCAAATCCTGCTTACATGACATGAACAACACCACAAGATCCAAAATCAGTGGAGCGAGGGCTGTATAGGCATAGTGACATGTGCATAAAGCAAGAAGGATTTGGCCCAAACATTCCTGTTAATGCAGGTAGAAATTAACACATTCAGAGATTAATCAAATAACCGGTTTTCAAATGCAAATCAGAAACCATAGAAAATGCAAGCAACACCAAACAATGAGAAATGGCAAGATTCCACAACACCATCCATTCCTCCTACGAGATGTGAGAAAGTATTAGCGTAATTCAGTATGACATCCATACCAGATGTTGGCAATCACCTACAGAACTTCAGATGCTTTCATGCTCAGTCTGGAAATGAGCAGAGAAAAAAAGCAAAAACAAAAGTCGAGAGTATGACTTGCACCATGATTGTACTCACCTAGGTTACTCCTTCTCCTGAGGATATACATGTGTCTTGTAAATGTCTACATGAGTCATGTGTGTGTAGGGAGAGAAGAGTTCACTCTTGGTGAACGTATTTTGCCATTAGCCACAGACGTGGGGCAGCAGAGTTTAATAGCATGTCAAAGACTTTAATAGCACGTTGGCAAACTTGAATGATTGTCAGCATTTCTGTAGACCATCTTTGCATGGAAATGTGACTGTCAGGCAAGTCTCCAAGGAAAACACATACATGTGATGTATTTTTCGACTCTGGGATAGTTACTTCTTGAGTTAAGTGATTTACACACCAGAGAAAATGACATTTATCTGTCTGCAAGAGGACTTCAGTGAGATTGAAGCACTGAACGGGGGTCAGTCTCCTCCACACAGCCTTAATTCTTGTGCTCCGAGTTCTGTTCTGGCTATCAGTAAAGTACTGGATAACATTTGCAGCACTATTTATAGCCTTTAGACTCACACTAACTTAAATGGGAGCTGGATCAGGCCCCAAAGTGCCTTGGCCCAATTTTCTATGAGGTCACCTTTCACCAGTATCCTGTCATTTTATGTGGGATGTCTGTGATGTACACGCCTGTTCTAGAAAGAGCAGTGGAGCTTCTCTGGGTACGGGGATGACGACGATGATGATGGCCTGCATTTTGCAGGCTTTTTATGATGAGGCACAGAAGTGTATACTTCAGTGCTTTACATTGCCTCAATTAGTAGTTATGAAAAAGCATTGGTGATTTCCATGCAGATAAACTATGTTTCAAGACCCTTTATTGTCATGGGAAGGGTTCCTATCGAGCACACTGGGACTTGGTTACGTTGGTAATGGGAGACAAATGAGTGATTTTAGTGGGTTGTTCTGCTGCTGACCATGATTCCTATCTAGACTGAAAAAGAACTAATCCTGTTGCCATGGCAATGTGCAAGATGCTAATTAATAAATAAAATCACTGACAGTTAAAGATTTTGTGCTCCAATAGAGAAAATTTTACTTATTTCTAAACACTTGAACATAAGGGATATGTTGAAGAAATTAAAACCTTTTTTGCTTTGGTAAGTCTGGATAAACAGATACCCAGCCACTGTACAAAGCTTGTTTTCCTTTGATATCGTGGGCCACTGGAAAAAAGAAATAAATTGGTGTGTTTAGTGGAAAATTGAGGGTATCCATGATGGTCCTCAGACATGTTAAAGGCATTGATCTGATGTCTTACACAGTGGCTGTTGGGTAAAAAATAAAGAGATAATGTATCAAGAGAGAGTAAGGCTGGATGGAGATCTGGATGCAGACACAGGACCTGCAGGTGTTCCATAGCCCTGGGCAGCAGGAGCTGCCAACCAAACGAAACCCCAGATCTCCAGTGAGTGGAAAGCAGACTGCTTGCACATAGATGCTAATATTTGTGTTGCTGAATCTGGGTCTGAACCCATCCTCCCAGAGCAAATCTTCTAATGGCAAAAGTAATGAGGTGCCGGAACAGGCTTCTCAGGAAGCTCATGAGACCTCCATCTTTGAAGGACTGTTAGAACAAGTCAGGCAATAAATATCATGCCAGGTAAGAGCTATACTAAATGCAGCCTTAGGCCACAGGAAAGGACTCTCAGAGTTTGCAAGATAATTTTGAGTCCTGCAAGCCTGCGTCCCCTAAACGTCCCTGTGCCTGCTTGCACGCTTAGAGCCAGGCATTAAAGGTAGGTGAGATTTTTAAAAGCACTAATTGTTAGCTTTACTGACTCCCTCTGGAGTCAATAGTGAAACTCATTGATTTCAAGTGAAGCACAATGCCTTTGAAAACCTGCCTCTAAGTGCTTTGCTGGACAGAAGCCTTACACCATGGAGGACTTGGCCCGTTGCTTTCAGTAAACAATTTCACTGAGCATGCTGAGTCCAGGTATGTTTTTGCAAACATAACTACCTGATGGAAAAGTGTGATCAATTTTATTGAGAAAAAGCTTAGGTTTTTATAAAAGGAGAAAATATCTCAGCGTTCTTCACCTAAGATGTAAAAAAGGAAGCAAAAATAACAGCCGCCTTCTCCTCTTTCTAGCAGCTGGATGCAAAAACCTCATGGATGGTAAAAGTGTTCATCATCTTTTCATTTTTAAGCCTATTGTTGAATAATATTTCATCTCAGCATTAGCCTATGCTATTATTAAAAACTCAGACTGATCTCCAAATAAACACAGCATCACGCCCAGTATTTCTTTCAAAATGTGTGTCTAACTGAAAAATGAACCAACCCTTCTGAAATTATCTGCTAACATTAAAAAAACCAAAACAACTTAGCTATGTTTTACAGGCAGCAATTTGTAGCTCTCCACATCTGTAATGTAAACATACTCAGGGCACAGGTAATCTTGACAATAAAATCTAAAGGCGGATATTCTATTACCATACCTTCATGCTGTTATGTCAGCAAATAATTTAGTTACTGGTACCTAAAAATGCAGTTATCAAAAAACCAATCAAATAGTCAGTCAGAAAGAAAAAAAGAGAATGTGATTTATTGTGTATTACTCTAATAAATAATAATCCTCATTTGTTTTTTTTTCTATTAACCGATAAACAGAACAACTCTGGTTTTAATATCACTGAAGGGTGTTGGTGTATTTTTAAATAATTTTTTTCTCAATCTCAAATTTCCACTAAAAACCAACTAAAATTTATAATTTGATGTAAAATAAGATTCTGCTCCAACTCTGATACAGGGCAGCAAAAAATTGCTATATATATAACTCAGCAAAATTGACAGGCTCTGCTCTGAAAAGCTCACGCTTGAGACAAGATGGAAAGTGAAAGGTGTCCCCTGGAGATGTTTGTCCCTTCAAGTTAGTCTTCAAATTGCTAGCAAAGGAAGCCAGGAAACTCTGGATTTCTTTCTGATTAGCCCTACTATCCTGTGTGATCTGTAAAACTTTTTGTGTCCTAAGGAAAAAAAAAAAATCCTTTCTCAATGGAAATATAATTAGAGAAAAAAAAAAAAACCAAAACCTGTCTCTGCTAGTATATTATTCTTTTTAAATTTAAAGACAAAAATTAAGACAGGAACTGATTTCAAGGAATACCAGACCTAATGAATGATGATCTTAAAGTATTCTTTAAAAGCTACGTTTGGACATATATTTTCAATGAAAAGTACCTTAGTCTTTCAGTAATTTCACTGATTTTCATTATTTTAGTGTTGTAATGAGGGAATAAGCTGTAGACCTATATATATATGTTTTCTTAACACCTTGATTCCAGAATTCCCATTTCTAGTTTATATTCCATGTGAGTGCTGGTGATTAATTGTAATATACGTACCTATAATTTTACAACACAGAATTTGTTTAGTTTTATATCAAAGTGTAAATGTGCTTAATATAATGGGTGGAAAAGCCTTTCTAATCTTAAAGAGCTGTGTGTGAGAATCTGAGCAGTTCTCTCGATGTTCTGAATATTTTTGACATGTAATTGCCAACATCTGTTCAGGATTATCACTGATAGGATCTACCATGCATGGACTTTGCTATCTTCTCTACCTTGTCATGCAGGTTGGAGATGTTAAACACTGAGGCTGAATGAGACCTGTCCATAGATATTGTTTAGCAAGAAAGTATTGTCATACGGTTAGTCCTAAGTGGACTCATCTATGTATAAATTACTAAGTAGTAAATATTATTTATTATTTTAAGAAAGAGTAAGAGATTAGATAAAAAGCTATGAAAATAGAGTTTCTTTCACTACGAGATCTGTAGTAAAATGCTGTTTTGTTTTTGTTTTTGTTTTTTTTTTCTGGGGGGGGGGGTGGTTCATATCCTTTAAAATGTGAGAAAATGTGAGTTGGTAAAATGCTGAACCTACCGAAATCAATGATGAAATATTTTCTAATCTCTTCAGGGTGCGAAATTTAAACAGTGTTTCTATCACGTGCAAATGGATAAACACCATGACAAATTAGGCTATCTATGCCTGCAGTCTTGAAACCTCAGCTCATAGCACAGATTTAGATTCGTCTATCGATGTGCTCTTAAACACAAATATGCATTTTGAGGTCATTAACCTTCCATTTTTAAAAATCAATATCCAAAGATTTTAAAAGAGTTTCACTGCCATTTTCCTATGGTTCATGAATGAGTACCTTACGTGTGTGATTGATGAGCCACCACATACCACTGTTCTCACAGCAGCACTCATCTTAGTGAGCTCTGTAATTTTGGAGGCACTCTAATTCCTTCTGCCCACAAAAATAGTATTGGAAAAACGTACAAAAAATGTATTCTATTGACAGGTCACATTCCCTACATTCCTCCATTTCCTGATCAGTATCTATGGTTAAGTCATTTGTAATTACTGTGTTTACTGCTGGAAATGGCATGTAGGCTTTAACTGCAGCCGGAGTGTTTAACCTGATTTTCACCTGAAATGACTGAGATTGTTTTCAGCGCCCGAAGTACTCTGAACGTTCGTAAGGCTGAGACATTGCCCAGGTCCACAAATTCAGTTATGTATCTGTAACAAGGGAAAGTCACACACAGACAATGACAAAACACCAGCAAAAAAAAACAACAGTCAAAGGGACAAAGAGAGACAGAGAAAGAATCACTTGTAGCTGAGAGCCAAAACGTAAGGATCAGGGCTTCTTACCTGGGATTACTGAAATAGTTTTTAAAGCTCTCAATACCCTGAAAGTCCGAAGAGGTGAAACACTGCCTACATTCACAAATTCTCCTACATACCTGTAGAATTAAGTCACAGTTATTTGGAATTATACAATAGAGTATGAGACTTGTCTGAATGAAGAATGCATTCATATATAGCAGGAGTGAACACAGCCAAATGAGAGGTGCATCCACTTTTCAGGCTGGTCTTTGATGCCATTTGTCCTGAATTTTTCATAGTACACATTATTTCAAATGTTTCTTGAACTATTTAACTTATCTAATAGGCATCAATTATTTAAAATGACTGGGTGAACTTTGCTATCATGCTGTTCAGCAATAAATAGTTTAAAGATTTTACCATCATGTAGTTTAACAAAAATTCTTTACATTATAGAAAACATTAAGAGTTATTTTACTGCTCTTAAAAAAATAAAAGCTTCAAATACCCAAGTAATTTTCACATAATAGCTTTTGCAAAGTACATATAGGACAACATGGGAAAATATCAGTGCAAATGTTTCTACTGGGTTATTTATTCTACCATGCTGTACTCTGTGGTAAAACAGATGTTGGTTTCAAGAGATGCTTAAAATTTTATTTTGTCTTGTGCATCAAATCAATGGCCTTTGGCTGCAGGAAGATGGGTTTTGAATTAGTATAATTGCAATCTTACTAAAAACTATTTATTATTAAAATACCAATCCCAGTTCTTCACTGCTATGGCTGTTTTGGTCATCATGGAGACCCATGACACATTTGAGCAAAATGCTCCCAGGAGAGTCGGTTATGGAATGAGTTTGGTTTTATCAGTGTTGCACAAAATTATTTCCTCCAAGTCAGTGTACAGTAAAAGCATAGTAACCACTGTCTTCTGAACAAAACAGGTCTTGGATCCTTTAATTTTAGTATTAAATCTCTATTCAATTTCATTTACATATTTTACTACTCTGAGGCATTTGTTTTTACATGTTAAGAAAAATCTCACTGGTTATTTTACAAAGTCTGCTTAAGTGGACTTTGTGCAAAGGCCTCTGGGGAGGACAAAGCATCCTCATCATATCTACTAATCCAGATTATAGCCTGGAAAAGCAATATTGCTTCTCCTTTTCATAATCTCATAGAGGAATCTGGGCAAAGATTTACCTGTTTGGTAATTCCTCCCCAGGTTTACCCAGTGCTTCCCTCTCAAACACTTTGACAGCATGCAAGAGTGGGGAAATATAATTTGGGGAGATGTAACAGCATGGGAATATGGTTTTGCTGACCAGAGATTTGTAAAAACACTTTATTAATATGTGAACAAGAATATGAAGCAAATACTACTACTGCTTGTTCACAACAGTTATTAAGATTTATTTCCGCCATTTCTTGGATGAAATTACAGTGGACCAGTTCCTCCATATCAGGAAATGAAAAGCAATTGGAATTCTCATATTGAATTTTCCTATTAACCAAGGAATTGCTTATTGTCTTTAAGATTTTGGCAAGGCACTTTCTCACCCAGAGTTAGAGCTGCATCTCCCTCACCTGTTCTGGAAAGTACTCGCCTATCTGGGATAGAGTGGTCTAAACAGGGGCAGTTTCATAATTTCCCCTGAAGCCATCCATGGCTCCAAGGACATTCACAAATAATGGCCAGGTCTGTTAGCACAGAGTGGGAGAATAGCCCTGGAGACATCTGGGACCTCTTACTCTCAAGTGTGCTATTTAAAATTAACCTCTCTGACTTGATCTTTGCTGTTCCTGCCCAAAAGAGGAGGTAAGACATTGTTTTGCAATAACTGTAAAGCAAGTGATGGTCATTCCACTATAACACCCAACACTGAAAGAAACAGATTTTCTGTTAGCTCAAAACCCTTGATCCATCTAGATCTCATGGCCCCTTATCAGGCTTTCCCATTTTGAACCATCATGCTATCTTTGTTTCCAGATACAGAAATACCTCTAGCATCTCACACTACAGCACCAGTTACCTGTATAATCAGTCTTACTTTAAGTTGCTTGCAAATTGGATTTATATGAAGGATAAATCATACCAGAGTAGAGTCCATTATCCAATGCTCCCTACTATCTGCTGCTTGTATACTTGGGAAAGAGATTTCATTGCACATATGAAGATAATAGTGCAGTCACTTTTAACTGTCTCACTGCTGCCTGTGGGCTCAAAGAAACACTTTTCTACTTCATTTCTATTCCAGAATTACATTTTTTTTTCCTATTTTATAAATGTTAATATAATATGCCTTAAAATAAGAAACAACAGGAATGGATGTTGGTTCTGAAGACTACAGCCATTATTACAATTTGATGCTGAGAACCTCGATTTTTTGCAATTGCAGACCCCTCTGTTTTAGGGATTTTCTAATTAAGAGATTAAATATTTTTTTAAAAGAAAATTGAAATGTAGCTAGGAAAGAAAGCACAGACACCCAAGGCTCTCATTAAATGATCCTTGGGCTGGAGCACTGAGTAGCCATTCAAGTCTAGAAGAATTAGAAAACTAGAGAGAGGTGTAAGCCTGTAACCTCTGGGCACCAAACCCTGGTTCCAACCTTCAGGGAGTGAATTCACCTCTGGGCAACTGCCCACCTCAAGCTCTGTGCAAACCTTCACATCTTTCCAGTTCCCTGAACCCCAAACACCCAGAGATGGTGTGGATAGAATTTAAGGAATATCCAGACCTTGTCCCACACTGACTGTTCACTCACGTTCTATCTCACAAACAGGTGCTTTTACCACCTGCCTGATGGACAGGAGAGAACTTGGTGTTGCTCTGTCCTGCCTCTAAATGTTGTAGGGGAATTGTACTTAGCACTGCTTGAGGAAAAGTTTAGCTGAGAAAAATATCTAATATGTGCCGACCTCCAAAAGCTCCTCCTCATCTGCATTGCATTTTTTTTTTAAGCTTATCACAATGGCCAGATGTCAGTTCAGCCAAGTCCATAGGAATGCAGTAACAGATACCAGGATCTGGGCTAGAGCTGGCTTTGATCCAAAGCCTACTAAAATAAATGGGAGTCTTCCCAATGAAGTCAAAATAGATTTTACACATCTTCATGCTCTTCTTCTGCTATATGCTGCTAGGAATCACAGAATATCTCAAGTTGGAAGGGACTCATAAGGATCATCAAGTCCAACTCCCTGCTCCTCACAGGACTACCTAAAACTAAATCATATCACTAAGATTGTCATCCAGACACTGCTTCAATATTGGTCCTGATGCCTGCACCCTAGCAGAGTTTTGCTACCAACTTCAGTGGTTCTCACTGATGTTGAACTAAGTTTGGCTGAATATTTTTTACCAAATTTGGTTTCATTCAAATGTTATGGGCCCAGAGGTTTAGCTCAAATGTCAGTGCTAGCAGGTTTGCACCTCACCTAAGGCTGTGAATTATGTATTTTAAAGAGGACAGTGAGAACTAAACTAAAACCAGGATATAATATAGGTATCATTAAGCTGAAATAACAGGGAGATCAAACTAATTCCTTTTGTGATTAGGAAACAGGGCCTTTCAGGGCATCTCTGCTTGCTTCCACTTCAAGATGACATGTGCTCTTCATGTGCTTTTCTCTTTTCTTTGACTGCGAAGAAAATCTGGATTTCTGTCTCAGCTGGATATACCTAACAGCGTCAGACATCTGCCTTTGGCCAGAACTTGGGCTGACCCTGTGTCCGCTGCGAGCGCTGGTTGGCTGCTCCCCTACCCTCGTGTATTTTTAGCTGTCAAGATGCCACAAATCTATCATCTCCTCCAAAGCACCAGAATCCCACATGTCCTGGGTGAACTCTAATAATCTAGGTAAAAGCATACAGCTGAAGGGGAACATCATGATGGGGGCTAAATTTCTATTCCCAAGATATATAACAAGTTTCAGAGGCCTTTAAATTAATTAGCTATTGTAGTAAAATAGTAATTACTTTCAGAGTGAAGAGTGTTTGTGAAGAGTGGAAAAACAGCTTTGGTGGTATTATGGATAGACAGAGTATAAATAGGGATTTAAATACAAGGGTATTCACTCACTCTTATAACACTTTCTTTTCAGGGGTCTGAAGCTTCCAAAAACTACATTAGATAGGCAAGTATTATTACAGGTATTTTACAAAGAGCTCTCTCTGTGAAGCATAGGGAGAGTAAATAATTTCTCCAAAATAGTCTAGTGAATTGAGAGAACAGAATTGAGAATTCCTCTGACTTCTTCCTCTGAAATCACTCAGGAAAAAAACCTCCACCTTAATACACTTCAGCATTTTCTCATTGTCAGTACAATTTGAGTAAAAAAAAAAAAAAGAGAATAGCCAGACAATTTTTTAGAAAGTTCTATCGCGTATCTCTGTATTGAAAAAATATAAAGGAGCACTACTTACGCCATAACAATAACACTGAAATCCAGCCAGTTCCATGGATCTCGAAGGAAGGTGAATTCTGTCATGCAAAATCCTCTTGCCAATATTTTTATCAATGACTCAAAAGTGTAAATGCCAGTGAAAGTGTACCTGGGGAATAAAGTAGCCAAGATAAGCAAAGCATTAGCAAGCAGTAGATGGCAGAAATGGTAGAGGCACACTCAACACAATCCTACTCATATGAGACACTTCCCATCTCATTGGCGTTGCTCATGTGAGCTATGGCTGCAGCACTGGGTTGTGTATGAGCAGCTTCATGTGTGGACCAAGGAACATGTAAGAAATGAGAAAGCACTCATGACAACCACAGGATGAAGATAATTTTCACCACAGAGTGTACCTTGATGAATCCTCACTCATTTAGTCAAGCATGAATACTACGCTGCTAAGCTGTGCCATGGGACTTTTGAAGTTCTGCCTGTGGTCACCAGTGGAAGAGGAATGGATTACGTCACATTCCTTGTATTTTCTCTGATTTGAAGAAGGGTGGTTGTTCCATTCATACCTCTCGTCTCTTCCTGCCCAGGCCATTTTGAGGGATAGCAGGTTAAAAATTGTCACCACTAGGCTTTATTAGCTAAAAAAGGTATTCTTCCTGCAATTTCCTTTTGTGCTTCACTATCCATGGTAAATCACACAAGCCCTCAGAATTAAACAACAGAATGACCACACTGAAAAAGAGGAAACTCCCACCTAAATAGTCTGTGTTGTAATTTTGACCTGCTTGACAGTAAAAGAGACACGAGAGTGGTTTTTTTTCCCTTACTAAGATATATTGTTTATTATCAACAGCCTCTTGATGGTGATGATCTTGGATAGAACATATATCTTACCTTTTGTAATAAAGATGATACTTGCAATAAAATTTAGCAAATACTCTGTGGAGGACAGTAATGTACCTGACTTACTACATTCAGATCTGTATTCACCCAGAGCTCCACCTACCATCAGAGACATACTTCAGGGCATACCTCACCTCTTTTTTTATGTTTCTACATCTAGCCCAATGGGACCAGGTATTCTAGGCTGTATCTTAATGAAAATAATAAATGTTTAGTATCCACCACTGGCACTCCCTACCCCTTTTTCTCCAAATGAAGATGCAGATGAAACCAAAGCCTACGAAAAAACCCAAACCAAACCAAAACCTAAAACAACAAAAACCAAACACCTAAAATCGCATAAAACACAAATCTTGTGAGTCATGATGTTAGGGTTTTCACTGGAAACACTAGCTTGAGTTTTCTTTTCAGTCCCTAAACAATAGTAGCTGTAATGGTGCCATCACACACACAAAATTATAACAGTTGGGATTCCCATTGGGTTAAAAAAAAAAAAAAAAAGGAAGAAAAAAAAAAAGGTGTAAGCAATTAAAGGTGGTAATATATGGAATAACTTCATTATGCATAAAAAGGAAATGTTTTCTCTCAGCTGCATTTCTCTACCTGCAACTGGGCCCACATACAGGTAGTGCCAAATCCCACACCCTCCTGCCATCATGTCACACGGCAGAGCTAGTTACACATGTTATAAAACCTCAGTACACTTCATCTTCAAATGGAGATTAGCAGGATAGTGTTTGTGCAACAGTATTAAATGTTTCTCACATCTTCTCTTTGGCCATACTCCTAAGCATTATCTTGTATCTGACTTTTCAAGGTTCCTATTTAGTTTTGCTCTGATATTTCAAATATAGGTCATCCACATGACAGTCTCTTTAAGCATGTGTATTCAGTAATATATGCAGAAAACACATGCAAAGAACTAAAAAAAAAATACTTAACGGTACATAAGCTCATTAAAATGATAAAGCACTTGCATTTATTCAGCATGTCAGATGGTTTAATTGATTGTATAATCATCATCTAATTCTAAATGGATCGGGCAAAGTCCTCCAGCAACTGAACAGCTTCTTTAACAACAGAAGTAATGATTTTTAAAAAAAGTTTTAGTAGGGGTAAGTTGAATTGATTTCTTTTTTAAAAATGGTAAGGAAAATGTTTTAAAGCAAGATCTAGGACAAATATTTGCACAAGGTTACTCTTGTATCCCCTGTGAGTGTCTGGAACAGCAGAAGAAAATGGATTAAATGTATCTTTTCCAAATCCAATATTAATCAATTTGAATTAAAGTTCATTGGGTTATTTCGCTTCTCAAAAGTAGTTGCCTTGATTTCATTCTCAGCATTTGAGGAGGAAAAGGTGAGAGATATGAGAGAACATAGAAGAGGAAATATAGAAAGGAAAGGATTTCCTCCATGCTGCATGGGTGCATTTGCATTTCTGCTCTACATTTCTTGCATGCCCTGCTTAATGCTCTGATAACATCATCCATATTTTCCTGCCTACGGAAGACATGACAAGCACTTCAATATTTTCCTCAAAGATGTTCAAATTCTCAGCTGTAGACCCATTGACCAAATTTTGACTCACATGGATGAGATGTCCATGTTTCAGCTGAATACATTGTGGCTATGGCACTGTGTGAAAGTTTTCAATAAGAAAAGGACAATGTCAGGGGAAAAGGAAAGTCACAGACATACTTGAAGGTAGTACACTATACAGAAATACATGAAACATCCTGGGATTAGGATGTTATTGTGATCAGATGAAATATTTGGTTCAGTGTTATCTATAATTAGTAATTTATGGCCTAGAAGATGTGCCCTGCATGATTTTATGAAACCTAAAATAAGGGCATTTTACTGTCTTTCCTTGCAGCCATGAGTAGACCAACCACCAGGCTACAGAGCAGCAGATGGCTGTGTTTATCATATGTCAGTCAAAAATAAAAAGTGTGTTCTGATTGGTTCAATGAGCCAAAATAATTGTTTAATGCACTGTAGGTTGATTAGCTTGTGCATCTGGTATCTGTTTCTAACAGGAGTACTTTAAAGCAACTTAAAGAAATGAAATGGGCTTTCTGAAGCCCATTAGTCTCTTTTAAAATTAATTTAAAAAAAAAAACAAACCAAAACAAAACCAAAAAACAATCAACCAAAAGAACCTTAAAGTGATATCTTTGCTATTTTTTTCTGAAAGTTTGACAAGTTAAAAAGACAGGAATCCTCAGAAAAGTGTTCCTAGACAGTTTTATACTTGCTCATAAAGTATGCCTGCCAACGATTACAGGGGAACACTTCTCATGTTGTGCTCAGTCCAGAAGGAAATTTGCTTCTAATAAGTTTAAGCTAAGGAGAGAACTAAGCATGTCCTTAGGAAGTATTTTCTGAAATAATCCAACTTAAACTCCATCAGCCTATTCCATCGTGTCCAACTGTCAAACCTCTTGCATGGGAACTGTGGAAGGCCAGCCAGTTTCAAATGGAGTTTTCCTCATATGTGATTTTATTCTGAGGTAGCATAGCAGGTACATTTAGCAATAAGTATGAACTTGGTAGACTAAAAATTTTTACTTACTAAGGGAGTTTTCACAGGCAACAAATGCCTCATTAAATATTTTATCATGGGAGATACTATGGTCAGTATTACTGGAAAGAAATTAGACAGAAGCAAACAAGATTAAAAGAATGTAATAAATGGAAGAAGAAGGATGAGGCAAGGAAAGGGCAGCTGTAAAAGAGCAAAGATACTTACTCAACATATTTATTCCATGACGGAGTCTCTGATTGTGCCATGAACACACAATTAGTTAAAATAGTGCACATGATAAACATACTGAACAATGTAAAGAAGCAAATTAAGGAAAACAGCGCATATATAAGACTTCATAAATTTTTGTCATTTCACACAAGATGTGACAGCTCACTCATGATTTCCAAGATGCTTAAAAGCACTATAGACATTTGCATAAGGGAAGAACTAATTATAGAAATATAGAAAAAATGAAGGAATCTTCCCAGCATTTTTTTTTCTTTGCCTACATCTTTTACATGTAATGTATACAACAAACAAACGTACTGATTCTGCAGTCTTCTGAAAATACAATACCCCAAATTTACAGCTGTGTTGGTCAGATGACAATGTGCATAGGTGTACAACTTTGTATGAAAAGAGGGATTAGTCTTATTTAAGTATCTACAGGAAAATCTGTGTCTGCAAATTCCCATTTTATTTTGCATCCTAAAACATTTCTCCGCCAGTAGGGCAAGTTATAAATCAGGTCTTTCTAATCTCTCTAATGGGCTTGAGGTCTTGCTTTCAGTATAAAGTTTCACCAAAAGCTAATATGAGTTTAAGAGCACTAATTTTAAGGCTTGGTCTGCAAACCTGGTCGGCATATATACAGTCTTGGTCTGCAAAGCTGACTGCCACAGCTGAGGCACCAGTTTCCCTAATTGGAGGCTAAAATGAACCTCCCAAGTGTATAGTCCATGCACTTAGCTGCTAAGCTGAGGCCATAAATATGAAAAGGAGCACCCTAAATCGAATTCTTGAAATTGAAAACATAGTTCACTGAACTGCTCTCCTAAAAGCACATGCCATTTTCTGTAAAAAAAAAAATACAAAATATAATGGGATTCTCCTGCATAAATAATAGGTCCCATGCTACTGGAGAAAGTTTAACTAATGAGTTTAAGTGGGAGAAGACAAGGCAAAGGAAAACAGCCTACAACCCAGTCAATAGGTTGGGACCCTTCTCAAGGAAGAACAGTACCATCCAAATATAAAATTCTTTTGCTTTCTTTAGGAAAAAAAAAAGGGTTTTTTGTTTTTCCCCTTTATTGATCCCATTGGTGGGATTTTGTTTAATCAAAGAATGTAATTTCAAAGGTACATCCTGAAATGTTTTTATGAATACTATCCTTTTGCAGATACAAAATCTATGCTGAATAGAGTGGAACATCTTTTGACGGGCCATGTGAGCAGCTATGATTTTAAATTGGTAGTAACCAACCTGCATATTCCCCAGTGTCACCAGAGAAAGCAGTAATTGAGCTCAAAGGGACTGCTCATCTCACAAACATTTTCCACTTCTGGGGCCACCATCTCCTGTTGAAGGACCGAGAAGGATGTCTGAGATTCAGTCCCATTTTCTCAAGTCAGCCTGAGATATGTTTCTAAAAGTTATGTCCATCTGGTTAGCACAATTAGGTTGTAAGTTGCAGCCAGCCTAGAAAACACTGGATTATTTTTTCAAATACAGTGAAATGCTATTAAATGCTACGGAAACAATTATTGTAAAATAGAGTGGTGTCTTCAGGCCAGGCCAAACAATTACTATCCTCCAATTTAATTCCAAGCAAGGAAATTTCTCTATAACCACCCATTTTAGGATCACTGGTGGAATTTATACAACCCTGTTCCCTTGTGGTATAAGCTGAATCCAACAGCTTTCCCAGATGCTCACTTATAGGCAGGTGTCATCACCTTCTTAGTGAAACATCAAAGAGAATATACCAGAGAACACAGGTTGACAATGTAAGGGGTCAGCTTTGGGACATCAAATGCACTATCCATTCAAACTGAGTTTCATGACCAATCTGAAAACTACAAAGAACATGAAAAAAAGGAACATTTTGGCTGTTTATGCATCAAAGACAGAGATCTGTGTTAACAGAAAGTGAAAACATAAATTCCTACAGAATGAAATTAGCATTCCTACCTGAAATCTAATGCAAGTGTTTGCACTAGAAAGAGTCAGTAATGATTATCTACTCAGAAAGAATAAAGTAAAGGAGATGAAATTAAGATAATCTTATTAGCACCATTGTCTTAGAATTGCTATTAATTCCAATTTTTGAAAGCCTACTTATGTGTGAGTTGACATGGCTAATGAATCCAGAAGTATGGGTTGGACTCTGTTATGGACCACAAACCAAATATACTAAGTTACTCATCAGGATCCTTTCTGCAATAAATTAAGCCTATTATTTCCAATTTGAAGTTATAGAATAGGATTTGAGCAAACTGGTTCTAAAAGTTATAAATTTTATCTTCTAGCACAAAGATATTGAGTCAAACATGGCATAGTTCTATTCTAGACTTCATTATGATGGATAATTGTTAATTAGCACACTGAATACTAGAGGCTCTTTAAGTAATCATTGCCAAATTACATATAATACGTGCTAGCAAAGGTTAGTCACAATCAATACTACATATAATTGGTGCTTCACAAGGTTTAATTTTCTCTTACAGAGGAAAGTGTGTAAAATCAGATGGGAGAAAAGTTGCAAGCAGGAAATATGAACAAAGATTGGAAATTCTTTAAGGAAGTTTTTGTTTGTTTGTTTTTGTTTTTTTAATGGGTCAGAATCCCTAATCCTAGCATCAAGGAAGGCAACTTTGCTCAAAACATCATTCTGTATCAGCGGTAAATTGAGACCAACGGTCTGTAATACCTAGAAAATCTAGGAACTAGCTATTGCTGTGGATTTTATACAGGACAGCAAACTGCTTGGAGAAAGTAGGGATAACACAGGATGGTCCTTGGCTTGCAAGCAAGAAGAACTAAGAGGAGTCTTTTAAGCATAAGGCATCAGTGAAATGTCACCAGTGGTTTAATCTATTAATAAGTGGAGATAGTAAATAAAGATGTTAATAATAGCTAATAATGATGTGGAAGGCAAAGGGTTCATCCAATACTTCTGTTTTGCATTTGCAATAGATGGGATACAGTTCTGCAATCCCCATGTCTCTGTGACAGAAATGGACCAGAGCCTTGTTCTGATAGTCATCTGGACCATGGTCCTTTCACAAGGCCTCCTAGTCTCTGAAGAAGAGGAGAAATACCTAAAAGAGGTTTAAGGCACTGTTAATTGAAGCCATTCACATTACTAGTAGGCTGTGGATGTTTTTTTTTTCCTTGGAAGGGTGTATTTTTGTATGACTAGACTAATGAGGCTTGGCTGGATGAGCAGGGAACGTCAGGATCTATTCTGCCTGAAGTCTCAGAGGAAGAAATCCATCTACAGCTACTTAACCAAGAAATGTGACCCTCACAGCTTCTATATAGGATGATTTTACTCTGGCCTCTCTACTCAGTTCTAATGTTGGCCTTCAAGGTACAGTCAATGACTGGAAATGGAAATATGGCATCTACTAAAGATGTTGCTTCAGACACTTACATGACAGGACACAATTTGTTAATGCTCTTTTTTAGCTGTTGCCCTGGGGAAAACAAAGATTGCTTGATTACAGTCACACAAGACAATAGATCTGGTGCCCAGATTCATGTCTGTGATATTATCTGCTTGAGTGCTTGCCAATTCAGGTTCCCTTTTGCCTAGGATATTGACTGCCTGCTCAGCCAATTGGCCTTTGTGTTTCAGGTTGATGTGAAACATCTTTATCGACAGAAAACAAATCAGTGTCTGATGCAGGAACTTCACTGCTGTTTCACTGGGACTGGAGGTGCTGCCTCCTGCCTGTTCTTGCTGAAGACTGAGCTGTTGGATTTCCTGACATTATCAACATAAGTTGATAACTCGGGTATTTCTGGAACTAAAATTTTATCTGCATTGCGACCTTCCACTCCTGAAATTTTATACTCCTTATCTGACCATATTTCTGTTCCTGACATATCTTTCAAATTCACTTCTCTGTGGTCTTTATCCTTGGAAGTAATGTGATAAGGATTTCTTGCATATTTATCTTTTGGTTGACTGTTATGGAGGGCATATAGTTCCTATGTATAACATATATCTGTGACCTCTTGGCTTCACCAGCCAGTGTGGAAAAAAGTGAGCAGACAGAACAGGTCTCCAAAGCTGGAGCCAGTATTCATACACACATGTTTTTTTTGCTAAGAAGCTCAATTTTCAAATTTTTCTTTTAGCCATACCCATGTAAATTCATTGACCTCAATTAACTTCAGCATGGCTGTGAAGTTAACTTAACTGTGCTGATCTAGCTATACCTAATAAACATTGTTGGGCTCTGGGTATGCAGCAGCATATGCTGTACTGCGATCCATAAGCAAATCTCTTTGCAAAATTCTGTGGTGTATTCTTAGTAAAAATACTAATGTCTTGATTGATATCCCATATTCATTTCTGCATAGAATTATTGTTACTAGAAGTTTCACCTATCTGTCCTTTTGTTAGAATACCTATATTCTAACTTTTTTTTTTGCCACTACATGGACAATCACTGGGAAGCTGGTTTCCTTCCTTATTTTTTTTTTCCCTGAAATTTTATCATAAACCAATGATTATAAGATATATACTGCTTAGTATTTATTAGTTTTCTGTGGTTTACATGAACATTGCAGATGAGGGATTTTCATTATTAAAACATCACACGATCATCACGGCAGCATGTGGAGTCTTTGAACTATCACTGTCAGGTCCCCCATGAGCACTGCAGAGAAAGCAGGCAACTTATGAAAAAGTGTGTTTTTAGTAATGTTCACACAAAGCTGAGCATTTGGGTCAGTTTGGTCTTCCAGAGAGATGTGACTATGTCAGAATAAAATGTTTCTGTGGCCATGTTAAAAAACAAGCCAAAACAAACTGCTGCAGTGTATCTTGCATGACTTCAGAACTTGAGCTAGGGGAAATCGGGCATCGCCCTTCCATCAAAAGGTCCAGCAGGTCAGCCTGTGCTTTCATTCCTAGTTGGATAACACATTGCAATAAAAAAACATAAAAAACCCCAACAAAATTTTTTAAATGTTCTGTTTCAGGAGAGCAAAAAAATTCAGCTCTGAGGCAGTTTCAAAATTAAATTGCATCTGCATATGGTGTCACAGAGTCTCATGGGAGAGGCTGCTCAAGTGCTCAGTAGCAAAGCCCTCCATCAGTGTAGATTTCCCCAGGTGTGTTCCAGCCCACTGGTTCCCTTCTGTTCTAAGGTCCTACACTCAGTTTTTTCCACTGACTCTTCACTAAACCTGACCAGGCCCTTCACACCTTTTAATCCTGAGTAAACTCACCAGACTTCCAGTGTAGTTCACATTATCTGATGTCAGCAGTATAATACAGTCATTTTCATAGCTCACATAACAATATAAAATGAAACAAACCAAAAATCCAAGTGTATTTCTGCTTGAGCAAGCAAATTCAGCCAATAGATTTAAAACAGCTTAATGAAATAAAATGGTTTCTGACTTCCATTCATCTGTGTTTAAAAACCATATAAAATACATGAAGAGGGAAATCAACAGAAAGGATATGAATGTACCAAAATTTTAATTGCTGCTCTTCTGATTGGATGGAAAGGACTAAGTATATACAAGGCAGGAGTGGCACTAAATCGAAAGATTGTCTTCCCTTTGTTCAGTACTATAAAGGTCTGGAAAACAAAATAGAAAATGAGAACATTCAATATTTGCATTTATGCTCAGCTTTCCCCAGCCCACATCCCATTTGGAAATTCCTGCCAGTATCCCATACTTCTTCCCCACTCCCTCCCAGGACCCCAAAATTCCTTTTCACTTGGTGAAGAATTTTGTCAAAGACCCTCCCACCAGAGCTGTTGCCTGTCTTATTGCAATATCCCAACATTTTTTTCTGCTTTCATTCCTTACAGAGTCCTGCGTGATCACCTCCATCACAGGGCTAGGAAGAGAGTGGAATCACTTTTAAAAATAATTTTAAAAATTACCTGGAGACTAAAATGTGGTTGAGGGACTTTTATAATGCCCTTCTTCCCAGGTGCTGGGAACCTTACTATGTTGTTACCCCATCTTTCCTACCTTGAGCACTTTGTTTCTTTCAGTCGATGTTTTTTGTCTCACCAAGTAAGTAGCTGCACAAGGTACAGCTCCACAGAAGGATCTGACCCTGGCACTGAGGTACTGTCATTGTACTCAGGTTAATATGGGCAGAGAAAACCGATGAGGTGAGTTATCTTAAATCCAAAGCAAAGGTGAATTGGATGCTGTCCCAATTTAGAGAGTTGTGAAGATGCCCCACCATGCACAGCGGAAGTAATATTCACTCAGAGACAGGATCAGGACACTTAATAGGTAAACTATAAGCAACTCACCCACCTTGAGTCTAAGACTTCCATGGCACTAAAACTGCAAATCTATATCCTGCTGCTTGTGCTTCAGGATAGCAGGCAAATTTAAAGGTAAATTAATTCTGGCCCTTCCAGGTAGGTAATCTATTTGTCTTTATCCATTTAACTTTTATTCTGTAGCTGTTGCACCTGTTTCTACACTGTTTTAATAGAAGCAATATTGTGGTCATATTAATTCCTTGTTTACAGGAAATAGCATAGCCCAAAATCAGGAACATTAGTACCTGAAAGAGCTGGAAGCTGCCTAAAAATACACTGTGCTTCCAAGCCTTATTTTGTCTCCCATATTGTGAAATGTTTCGAAAGGGGAACAAACTGTAGTAAGCAACCAGTCCAGCTCTCCTGTCAACAGCCTTTTGACAGAAGCTGTTTGTGCTGTTGTGGCTTTGGTCCAGCCTACACGTGATTCCTCATCAGGTGATGCTCACAAAGCCTACCCTTCCGCAAAGTGCCAGCATTGTGCAAGCTACTCACATCTCCCTTCAGCTCTATTTCAGTCATCTTAAATGGAGTTAAACTCTCCCTCAGCAGGCAAAGAACCTGGTTACAGAGGTGCCTCCTGCTCTTGTGCGGAGTGCTAGCACAAGGCTCAAGTCACCCAGAAGCCCTTAACATTAAGGAGCTTAAGTGGTAAACAGACCTGTGAAGAGACAAGGTTCATGCAGAAGACAAGATAGGGTAGATAAAAACTTCTGGCTTCACTGAACTCAGCAACAGCTCTGCTCTTTTCAGACACTGTATATTCATACAAAAAGTTATCTGAAAACACCCAAGTATTAATCGTACTTTTTATCCCTCTTTGCACTCTCGCTTAGATGTTTGCTGGGAGCCCTGCTCATGCCCAAACTCTGACCTTTCATTTGGAAAAAAAAAAAATACTTTTACTGGCTGTAGAACAATAAAAACCAGAGCCCTCAAAACAGAGAAAGTTTTAATGCTTCAGCAAAAGCAAGGAAGCAGGATGGCTGTCTGGTGCTCACCTTACGATCATTGTAGAATGGGTCAAGGTCCTCCAATGGTTCTCCGATGAGCTCTGGAGGAACAGTCCCATAGATATCGGGTAACTTCTTGCAAGCTTGCAAATCAAACTGAGGTTGAGGTTTTTCTTCTTCACCCAGCTGCTCTCTATATTCCTGCTTCGCATTCCTTGCAAGCTTCTCTGCAATTCGTTTCTCAATAGCAGCCAAGGATTCAGGCGTGAACCGGTGGAAGCTGTTAGTACCCGGTGGTAACAAGAAGTCAGCCATCTTTTCATCCTGCTTTGTCTGTACTGGTCTTTACTTCTAGTAGTAGAAACAGCTGAAACAAAAAGTACCAAACATTAGTGACAGGAGCAAAGCAAGAAGAACAAAGCCATCAGAATGACCCAAATAACTCGTAAGCTATCTGTTAACAGGAAACTCTTCATCTATTTTTATGTGGTTAGTAAAACATCAAGGAAAATATAAATGACTGAAACTATAATTTCAGTTAGGAATCACTCGTGATCAGAGCTAGACGTTGTAGATAGATAGACTATGGAGTACTCTTAAGTTTTTCAATCACTTGGGATCCTAAATCCCGACTAAGGAGTAATTTAGATTCATACAAGCTTAAATTTCATTGAAAGCCACAAGGATCTGGATTCCTAGCTGTTTTTTGAAAATGCTGCTCTGGGAGTGGATGAACAATGTGCCTAAGATGACTGCAGGGCAGATTTAAATCAGTCGATCTCCATCCACATGATGCAAACTTTAAAAATGCCCAGCTGTTCTATTCCAAATTTAAAGAGTGAAGGGTCAAGTTCAGATTCTTAAATCACATAGAAATTCTTCATAACCTCTGCCTTAGGCTTCTGCAACATAATTTTCATTTTCCTTTGGGATAGGAAATACCTTCTCCAAGATATCTGTCAAGACTTTTGAGCATTTTCTCCTCCACACCCTACAATCTGAAGGATGTTGGAAGCCCAAATGTGCCTGGCAAAGCCCTGGAACCTTCATAAGAGCGCTCCAAGCTTCTGAGATGATGAATAGCCACTGCTTCCAGTTCATCATATCCCAAAACTAGCCTCCTTCCATCCCATAACATTTTGAACATCTAACTTACACCTGTGAGGTTTGACAATCTTGGGTTGATGGTGTTTCACTGCTAACACTTCCAATTCCCGCCTGAATTAAAATGAGTGAGAATTGTCACATCTCTTCAAGTTACATGAATAAAGTCAAGCGTGAAAAACACAGCAGAACAAAAAGCCTTCTTGTATCTGCACTAAACAACATGGATAACTGTGAAAATTAATGTAAAACTACTGTTTGAAAAGGGATGAAGCTTTTTCCTGTTCTAGTAGCCTGCACAAATCCATCCAAGTTCACTGAAGCTGTATTTTGCAATTTAATAGTGACTTCAGTGACATGTATTTCCAGCAAGGGAAATCCTCATTACACAACAATTAAAACTCATTTCACAGAAGAAACACAGCCCTTGTTTTTTACCACCAACAGACCATTCATGCTAAATCAGAATACAAGCTGGTGACAAACAAAATAGATTTTGAGGTGGGCTACCCTACTGCATTCTTCCATGTGTGCAGGATACAATTCTTTGTTCAGCCACAATTGTTGTTTTCTGCTTTCAGATGGTATTTGTCTAATTACAGTGGATAGTTCCAGATAGTTTGCTTTTATTAGGCTCTGTGATGACAGCATTTTTGTTAGCAAACAAAACTTTAACCGGACTCTGCATGACAAATAGCATATTTATTGACTCAATTTATTTGAGTAAAGTACTCTTTCAAATAACTACTGTTTTTCCTATTCTGACTTCATTTTAAAATGAATTCATTAAATTGTCATTGATCACAGCCTATCATACAGAAGTGATTTACTAGAGCTTGTACATTATACTCCGTATTACTGCTTGTTTGAAGAAGCAGAGCTAAAATGAATTAACCTTCCTGGAGTTTGGGTATTCTGACATTGTTCTTTATTTAGATTTATTCTCTTTATTCCTTATCTCTCTCACCTCACAACATTTGTTTTATCCCCTTCTCCTGAAAAACAGGAAATTAGAAGCTTTCCCACAAATTGAGTTTTCTTATGCTCAACACTTTGTGACTCAGCACCAGTGCAAGCAAATAGAATTTCACTTTCTATAAATGACATCAGTACAGGTGGCCAGAGAATTCGCAGAGGTTTTGTGTTGTTTTGATTTTTGTTTCCTCACAGCGAAACCTGTCTCAGTGCTGAAGGGGACAACAAAAATCAGTGGCTGATCAGTACTTCTGGAAGGGCACAGACTAGGTCTCTAAAACGGAGAAGAGATTAATGCAGGTGGTTAGTTGAGGTCTAGATAATCATGAGTGCAGTGAAGACAGTGAATGGGGAATGATTGTTCACTTTTTCTCATAACACAAGAATGGAGAAATTTCAAATGAAACCACAAAGCAGCAGCTTTGAAACAACCACTGAAGCCACATTCCACATGGTGCAGAGTTATCCTGTGAAATTTGTTGGCTGCAAATATCAAAGATTCACAAAGCCATGAGACAAATCTAAGGGCAAAAGATCCATTAATGGTTTTAAACACAAAGATGATGTCTCTTACGGAGAAAATCCCTTTGCTGCAAAACCTCGTGCATGCAAAAAAGACTACTTATATTCACCTTATTTTTACCTTCTTTCTAGGCTACCAGTCTGGAGAAACCAGTCATCTGATCTTATGTGCTTTTGTCCTTACGTAGCACTAATACCAACACAAGACAGCCCACACTGCTTTGGGCAAGGGCTCAGTCTGCTCATGGACTCTGTGGCTGGCCTGAGCTTGTGCAGACATGGAAGCACATGGAGAACCAAAGTTAATACCCCTGTACAACTGCAGGTGCTCAGGACCTGTATTGCACCAACTACCTGCTTCCAGTGCTTCAGATCACAGATCAGGCAACTTCCTCCAACCTTTGCTGGAAAACTGGTGGTAGCCACCTCTGCACCACCTTCTCCATATACCCAAACTGGACACATGGCCGTATAGCATGAGGGACACCTAGTATTTTACTAACATGATGACAGAATGTGTGAAATGTCTGTTTACAGTACCACAGTTTTCATGGGTGTTGTTTGATCACAAAAACTGAATCTTCACTAGAATATTCAGCATCCTTCTCAAAATTCCTTAAACACTTCTGAAAGAAGCCATTCTGGCAATAGAACTGGTCAAAACTTTTTCAAAAAGAAAAAAAAAAAAGGGAGGGGGATGGTGAGGGAGATAAAATAGTCAGAAAAACCTAATCAAAATAAGAAATTTAAATTACTTTTTTAAAGTGAATTATTTTTGCTTAAAGCTCTCTCTTATTAGAAAATTGAATCAACTTCAAACTACTCAAAACTAGATCTTTTCAGTTTTATTTGCAAATTCCAGAAAGGTAGCTGCCTAGGAAAAACTGGAAAACTCTATACAAACTTTATTAGAGCTTTTGTTACTCTTCTATTTACTTTCCCTTAAAAAATTATATTTTGAAGCATCCCTACAATTGAAAAATCTTGACATGTTTTGTATTCACATTGTACATAAGTTAAAGTTCCAAATTTTAATATATGTATATTTAGCCTAATTCTTTTTCTATTTCATATGTTTTCAGGAAATGGACAAGATAATTTCACAGGTCCTTTCTATGTCTAATTTATTTTAATCTGTGAATTGCAAACATTTCTACAAATAGCAAGGGTTAGCCTAGAAGTTTCTTAAAAGGGTAAGAAAGCACCATAACTTAAAAAGGGAAATCATCAATGACTGAATCAAAGAGCTGGAATGCCATTTCTTAAGAGATAATAGCTGTTGTGACTCATGTTTTTACAATATGAGCCTGGATTTTTCCATTACTCTCAGGCATAGTTTTGAAGTACAAGGCTTCGAAAACATTTTTTCTGTGATATCACCATGCATAGAATGAACATTTCCCTCTTGCTTTGTCTTTGTTAAATTCAGTTAATATAGCTTCTTGCTGATAAAAACATACTGGCTATTTAAACAAAATGTGCATATGAAAATAAAGCCCCAAGAAGCATATTTTCTGTGGCATGGCAAGGAGTGAGAACAGTACAAACAAATAAGATATTGCTAACACCTGTATTTATTCAGAAAGATAAATGCCGTTTTCCTTAGTTTTAGCCTTACTCTCATAGGCTTCAGCCACCCTAGCTCAGAAGACCTTTCAGGTTCTCAGAACATGACTTGTGTGCCCTCCAAGCCCTTCCTTGACTCCTCATGGATGGTTGACCATCACCCAAAGGGCCACTTTGAGCAACAGGTTGCCTGAAGGAATGTATATTCAAGGAAAGTGGGTCCTGCTCACCTCTGGTTAGCTGCCTTCCTGATCTTGCATGGGCTTTGTGGACTCCAATCACCACCCTAATGTCTGCCAATGCCTTATCATGGCCCAAGATACTGACATGAGCCAGGAGGTACGTCGCATTCCCCAGAAGCAAGAGGGGAAGCAGAGGCTGAGGTCCTTGCTGTGCACTACACCTGGTAGGACACTGACCAGAGAAGCAACAGTTACTTGCACCTCCATCTCCCTCTTGCATGATGGCATAGGATTGCTTGCCTGGTGTATTATCAAGGACATGCATGCATATATTTCAGGCACCTGGCAGTGATAATAAAGGAGCTAAACTTGAAGATCAACAATGTGAAAGTGGCACTCACAGGCTAAAGGTTAGATACCATCACACATACTAATCTCTAGTAGGACTGTGTTCATTTCACCCTACTGATTTCTGTGATGTCACTCAAGAAGCTACTACTGACCATGGGCTGGGGAGATGGATGATAGCCCATGCAGCAGGTATGTTTCCACTGGGATTCTGATAGACCTAAATCTTACAAAATAACATTCAGGAGTCCTAAATTATCTTTTTGTTTAAGAAATGTTTGTGACTAAATATAGACTTTGCATTCCTAACTTGTGTAGTAAAAAAACCAGTCACAAGGATGGGTTTCTTTTAAATGTTTGAGACCACATGGAATACTGTCATGTTCTCCCCCTCCCTGCCTGTTTTCCATATAATCTCTTTGGCATTTTCCTGTGACCTGCAGAACCCTGCAAAACATGAGAATAATAAGCTAGGGAAAAAAAAAAAATACAATGACACATCTAATTTAATGTCACTGGCCTAGATTCAGAAATACTTATGCATAAATTTACACATACACACAAACATTTTATCATATTTTAAAAGACTACAAGGTGAGATGGGATTGCATGAAAGTT